CTCAACCTTGGCAACGTTAAGATGTGTGGACTTCACTTGCTGGCTGAAGTGTTCTGGAAGTTGAAACTCATCTCATCTTAAAGTTGGCAAGAATGAGAAATAATGGTCTAAAATCAGACTTGGCTACTATGTTTATCATATAGACATTAGAACGGTCGTGATTTATTGAAAGTGAAATCTGCCTTGATTACAACACTATAACTGCTAGATAGCTGAATAAAAGAGTTTAAATAGTGATAGAAAACTAGTGCAGCAGAAAGTGAATATAGAAAATATTTGGCCTATTTCCTTTCTTTGGAAATAGTTATAATTTGTATAAACTATTAACTATCTGTAATAATTTGAAGGCATCATAGGCTAAAATTGGAAACTGCAATATATTTTAAGCACAAAATTCAATACAAGTTTCTTATTGTTTCTTTCTTTTTCTTTTTTAGGAAATACACAGAAAGGAATTGTAGCAGAAAGTAGCAACAATCTCCACTGTAAGCCATGTCAAATCTATTTTATGGCTCTTAATTATTGAGTCTAGCCAGTGGAAACTCTGCAGGTATTGCAATCATAAACTAGAATGTTTACAAACCATTTCAACGTGCGGAAACTATCAACCTTGGAACAGTTCTGCAATTAATATATTATTTTAAGCAAATCTATTTAGAGCAGGGACTGACATTTTTGCCTTGCTAAGGGCCGCAATTGACCTTAAAATTACATGTTGAAAACTGCACTCCAAATGTAAACTGAAGCCAAACTTGGGTTTAATATAGTTAATGAAATACTACTAATATAGTTACTTGCCATTTATTGTAAAAATTATGTTACAGACTTTTTGTCTTATGGAGCTGCTTGCAAGGCTTTGGTGATGAATAAAACTGCTTATTTCTGAAGTTAGGTCTACCAAATCTAGGCTGAAGAAAATCTAAAATTCACAATGACCTGGCAGCAAAAGGATATGGAAAACTCTTTTAATTATTTGCTTTCATGTAGTGGTTGTTCAGATTTTTGCAATACAAATGCAGTAGGTCTAGTTTATTTCATAGCAATAAGTACTGGAATGACTCCTAATTCAAGAAAGGTCAGAAATATCAGCTAAGTAAGCAAGGATAAACATCCAGAAATAGCACTATACAATTCAGTACTATTTTCAGATGTCTCTGCAAGTACTTCACAACCAGAAAGTCAATTCAAATACACTACTGTTAAAACCATTCAACTAGGCCTGTTAAAACCATTCAACTAGGACTACTAGAATATTTACTTACTCAAACAGATCATTGTAAGGCAACCTACCCCTCCAACTGCATATTCTTCAGATCTAAGCAACTTTCTCTGTCTGCTTAGATTTGGGGCTAGATCGGTCCACTGGTAAGTTGTACCAAGTGCAGATAGCAGTCCAAATATCAGACTGTTTTTCGTCTAGAACAAGGGAAGCAAATATGTGACTTTTGTGTCCTCTGGTATGTTCCAGATTGCATAGGATCAACAACTTGAGCTGTTTGTATGTGCTGCAGCAGCCAAAAAATCCAATGCGATCTTAAGTTGCATTAACAGAGGGATTCAATCAAGATCACATGAGATATTAATACCACTCTATAAAGCCTTAATATGGCCAAACCTAGAATACTGCATCCAGTTCTGGTCACCACCCTATAAAAAAGATGTTGAGACTCTAGAAAGAGTGCAAAGAAAAGCATCAAGATGATTAGGGACCTGGAGGTTAGAACATATGAAGAACTGGGCATGTCTAGTCTAGTAAAGAGAAGGACCGGGGAGACATATAGCAGCATTTCAGTATTTGAGGGGCTTTCACAGAGAGGAGGGGAACGACCTATTTTTCAAAGCATCTGAAGGCCAGACAAAGATACTAGAAGAGTGCTTCAATCCATTTGTAATATACTATATGTATTTCAGTCATCTCACGAGAGTGTATCATGTCAGCAGGGACACAGCTGACTGAGCATGGCCTTCTTAGTAAAGAATAATTTTCCACATGCAGAAAAAGCAATTTCATGTTGTGCATTATGAAGTGATATTTTTACAAATATGGCAAGAGAAGTGTATTAGATCAATAAATGCATCAGCAGCTTATGGAATTGTCAAACAAATTTTTGAAGGACTTTTCAATTGTAATCTTTATTGAAACAAGTAGCAATTGAGTTAGAATGGGAGTAAGAAAAATGTTTCAATTTTTGTATAGAAGCACAGCAAACCCAGTAATAAGAATTCCATATGAGGAACAATTTACAATTAAATGCTGAGTGTACTTGGCTACTGACAACATAGAAGCATTAAAAACCTTATAATGGTCCTCCAAGTACTGAATTTCTCATATGCCAGACACTTTGAGATAGAATCTATAGCAGTGTTTCTCAGCCTTAGCAATTTTAAGCTATACAAACTTCAACTCTCAGAATTCGCCAGCTTAAAGTTCCCACGGTTGAGAAACATTGTATGGTAAATGATGAAAGCTCTATAACATTCTAAAAATGCCAGATTTGTCATAATTTCCATGGCTTCTGTAGTTTAAATATGCTGAATGACAAGTGCAAATTCAATAAAATTTCCTTCCCAGTGGAAGTACTGCCTGTCTTGAATTTATGCTCAACATGAAATTGCAGAAAGCATTTAAGCCTGAAGGATACTTGCAATTCTTCTTATCTCTAGCAAAAAATTCCCTGGATATTTTAAAACCTCTTTGCAAATTTGCTCCAGATTTCAATTTCTATTTGTCTTATATACAGACATATATAATCTTTGTGTATGTGTAACTATGGGAAAGAGTTAAGTACAGTTTTTCTATTAGTTTTCAAACTTGGCTGTGTTGTACAAACCTGGAAACTGGGACACTGAAGGTGCAAAATGTAATGCAGCACTGGCACAGGTCAAAGAAAATTTTAGCTCCTGGTGATAGGAACAGAAGCAGAGTCCTCCTGGATCATCAAATCTACTGGCCATATTTTTCCTACCAGAAAGCAAATGCTTTGGGGATGTCCATAAATAGAATGCAGGCTGGAATCTTGTCTGAATCTTGGTCCACAGCATAAAAGCAATATGATGGTATACAATGTATAGCAGAGGCATATTGTGTTTGCTCCGGAGGGACAAGTTATATATAGACACATTTTAACAATAAACTAGAATGGCGTCTTGGACAGATCAATTTAGATGATGTACAGAATACAACTGAGTAAGGTTCTCACTTTTGAAATGCCATCAAGAACTGTATGTTCCAGAAAATCCTTGCAGACTGAAGGAAGATGGCTCCCCTTCAGTGTTTATATAGCTGATAGTTTATGTGGTGCATCAATATGCATTATATCTATATTTTGTATTGTTTTAATCTCTGTTATGAAAATTTTGCCAATAGTCCACCACTATTGAAAGTAGTAATGGCTAAACAATGAAATAAATAATCTGTTGCCCAGCTAATTTCTTCCATCATATCTGTATGATCTCTCTATGAGATTCTGCCAGGTATCGTTGTGTCTCTTATATACTGTATAATGTTTGGACATTAGACTATACCAGAGGGAGAATGCTAAGAGTACAAGGGAAAAGGACTCTGGGTAAATCCTTGGTAGTATTTTCATAGAAGCACTGAATGAGAAAAAGTAAGCATCTGTCTATATCAGTGTTTTCCTCCTTCGTCCACAATATTTGCTCTTGAAATGGAATCAAATGCTGATTTAAAATCTACAAAGCCGCATATGACGTCTTTCCTTTATGGATGTATTTCTTGGTTAAATGTCATAAAGCCAGCACATTAGCAATGGCAGTGTGCCTAGAATGAAAACCTGCTTGTTCATTACCTAGTATAGATTTTCCCTTTATTCACTCCTGCAATTTCTAATTTAAATGGCATGACTAGAGTTTATTAATTATGCTTAAAAGGTTATACAGATGTTTGCTAAAATAGAATTAAATTGGGGTGACAGTCATCAATGGACATATAGACCTATTCATGAATCTCAACTGCTTATAAAGATACTTTAGCACTGAATGTGTAGAATTTGAAATGTGTCCTAATATGCTATGGCCATATTTGCAATCCAGATACAACTATAAGCCATTTTAGCTGAATATGTCTACACTGTACACATATATATGAATGTGACCAATTGTTTCTACAAGTAGTCCTTACTTACTGATGGCCATTGGGATCAGAATTTCCATTGCTTTGTACATCATGTGACAGCACCACTTAAAATGCCAGTCCCAGTAACCATATTATTCTTCTCATCTTTCCTATTATTTTTTCTCATTGGTATTTTATGATTATTATATCATTTTGTTGTTTGTATGTTACACTGAGAGCTTATACACCAGAGACAAATTCTTTATACGTCCAATCACATTTAGCCTATAAAGAATATTCTATATCTATTCTATATCATTGTTAAGCAAATAACCATAGGTCATTAAGCAAGGACCTCACCTTCAGACTCTTTGGTTGGCTTCTCCACTGGCTGCTTGTGGGAAGCTTGCAGGGAAAGTCACAGATCATGGGACCCTTAGATGGTCAGAAATTGTGGCCAATTGCCAAGAACCCAGATCATAATCATGTGCCCATAGGGGCGTTGCAAGAGCTAAAACTTTGAGGACTCGTCATAAGTACCAATTTGTTCACAAGTTTGGATGGTCACTGAGGGAATGGATGTTCAATGAGATCCGCCTGTACTTGGATAGTTTCTGCTGCAATAGTTACATTCATCTTGTTTCTTCAACAATTATTGTAAACATCAAATGAATCAGCAAACTTGCTATTTTCCTGCCTGAATGAAGTCACTTAATGTTTAAATATGTTAAATTAACCCTGTTTTTTTTTTAAAGAAAATGAATGGCAATGACACTTCAAAGAGAATTTCTCATTACAGATTTCCCAACTAATTATTACAGCGCTTATCAGATGAAAGATGTTTGATTAGGCAAGAACTGTTTTATTAGGCAACATCGATACTGCTATCAGCCACTGGGTTTGTTATTTGCATTAGGAAAACTTTCATTTTATTTCCCATTAGGTTAAAATTGTAGACAAGAATCACTGATGGTTTCATGGGTGTCAAAACAAAACAGATAATAAGAACAACCCTCAGGAGGAAGATGCTTACCATCTTATTTGGTTACCCTTTAAGGTGCGATTGTTTTACCCAATTCAGTGACAACAAGACAACAAACTCAGCTCTTAATATGATAGAAGTTGCATACTGTTTCTCACAATCTCCAGAACTACATGTAATGTATGCAATGAGTAGTAGCCTTAGGCCTTTCTTGGGCATAGATTCTTCTTTGTGTAACAAGATAATTGCAAGTAGCCACAAATTGTTTTGTATCCTGAGAAAAACAATGAATCAGTACAAACTATTCTGTATATGTGTGAGTCTAGTTCACAGAAATTAAAAAAAATGGGAGCACATATCCAAGATTCATTAGCTACCCCACTATACAAATATATGTACAAATTACATGTTCCATGTGAAACAGCTCTGCAAATAGGATCAATGTGATTTTGACCATTTATGTGTGTACAGTGAAATGGAAAAGATTGGACATCCAAAAGCATGTTTTCATTTGGAATGGGGGGAATGGTAAAAGTTTTGCAATTAGGTTTCTAGAACTTCTGCTCACGGTTTCTTTTTTTGTCACATGAATATTGCTATATGCTTGTGGCAAAAATCCAAAGAAAACAGAATTTTTTGAGCTGTAAAAAACTCAGTGCTTTGCCTGTAATAATTTGAAATTTTCATAAAGGTAGCATGGACACAATCAGACATTAAATAAACTCTTATGCGCACAAAAAATGTCTTCCCAAGAATTTAAGAGAGATGTATTGATTGAATCCACCAGGAATGTTTTCTCTAAAAGCTCCTTCATCTAACGGAATAAAATCTGTACACCTTCAGATACATGCTGTTATACCGACAATTAATAAAACAATTTTAAGCTAGGATACATATATATATATATATTATGTCAATAGAACAGAAAGGTGTTTTTTCTGTAACATTTTGGATCCCATACATCTTTTGCATAAAGGGAAAATATATTACAACTAACCTTTCTATCTTATTTATTAAATTTCAAGCAACTAATTCCTATGCTGTATTAAAATGTAAATATTTCAGTAATTCCATTTATATAGGATTCCACTTTTTTAAAAGAAGTAGACGCCTTTCTGTAGTTATCATACATTTAAAAATATAGATATACAATAGTAAAATAATCCAATTCAATTCTTTAATATAAAAATAGCAGCACAAAACTCCTGTTCAAAGTATGTTTATTGTGAATAATCAAAATTTCTGTTCAATTATCACCTGCATTGTATCAACACGTCTCCCTACTGTTGCGCATATATATATATATATATATATATATATATATATATATATATATATATTCATAAACTTTTGTGATAAGAAATACTAAGTAAGAAAAAAGTATTCAAAGGGTTAACTTGTTCAGGAAAAAAAAGAAATATATTTTACACTATATCTTCTTCAGTTCAAAATCCAGCTTTGAGACTGAAGAAGGCTCCCAAAACACAAGAACTATTTAAGAGGTCCTTTCAACCAGTAGCAGTTTGATTACCAATGACTCGGAGGATCTCTTTATGGATGTTTGGCTCTTGAGTGTTTATACTTGTATCGCCTACTTGGCCATCTTCATAGCTAAACAAAAACAGAAAGTGTACAGAAAAAATTGTTTAATATTTTGAACACTTCCGTATTATGATAGACAATTTCAAATTTCATCCTTTCTGTATGTAGCTTTTATTTTTGTTATCTTCTATTATTAAGGAATAAAAGAGAAGATGTAATATTGGATTTCTACTTTAACTATTGATGAAACTGGAAAACAGAGAAGCGAATTATTATTGCATCACAAATGCCTTCACTCATCATTTTGCTAAAGAATACTGTCTGTGCTTCTTGGCCAGTGTGATTCCACTATAATTTGCTTGCCTCTGAGATTTCTGATTGCCCTTGGTCTTAACCAGGAAGATAGAAGATTAGAGGAACGGTGTTTTACCTTTTTTTTCCTTAAAGAGAAATATCCTTGAAGACAAATATTAATCTATCTACTTGATATTTTAATCAAATGTGAATTACTGGACTAATAGGAGTGGGGTAGGTTAGGATACTGGGTTGACAATCACAAGCCCGCGTTCAAGACCCAAGTGCTGTTGTATGGTGGGATGAGACCCGTCATTTGCTCCAGCCCCTGCTGACCTAGCAGTTTGAAAGTGTGGAATTGCAACTAGATTGATAGTTACCTCTTCAGAGGCTACATTAATGGGGACATGAAAGGAGGCCCCCAACTGGGCATTCCCTAGACAATAGTGATGCCACTGGCTAATCCCTTAAACCTGGAAGTGCCTTAGTTGCTTCTGAGATGAACACAAGTGAACGACTGGACTAATCACTACTAACTGACATTATTGTACATATTGTATATACTGTATATATATATATGGATTTTAACTTTTTAGTCCTAGGGGCACTTATTTTAAAATGTATTAAACTTCCAAGGAACTTGTGCAAAATGCAGATAATTGTTATTGTAATTGTTGTAGTTGTAATGGTATTGTTATTTTAGTTCTAACTGGATTCTAATGGTCCATATTTTGTCTTAATCCACATTCACTGAAAAATATTCTGTATTGAATGTTGCCAAGAAAGATCATTAGTGGTAACCTATGTTAAGTAATAATGATCAAAAAGTTTCTGAAATAATTGAATCTTCTGAGAAAGTTTAAGTTAAATTAAAAGTATGGGGGACTGGAAGATTCCTAGTGGAGATATACATCAAATTTAGATGCACTCTGAAGATCTTGTATCACCATTAACTTTTTCATCCTACCATAAATCTGAGAGCTCAGAGCAGCTTGCACAAGCAAATCCTTAGTACAGTAACTTTGTAAAATATGTTAGCAGAGAGTGTGTGAGAGAGAGAATGACAGATCAACTGAGGTTCACATTTAAATGAGAATCTGAACAGGGAACCCCATGATTCAAGTTAGTATTGTAATCATTAAAAGTTACGACTAGTTTCATCCTTTTAAAGAATCAAAATATAAAGGAAAACCTAACTAACATTTTTGTACGATTTTTCATTCAATTGGACTTCAGTTCAATACATGGAAATTTATCTTATTTTGTAGTTATAGTTATTTGGTGTTTTCCCAAGGGGGGGGGGGGTGACTCAAATTTCAGATTGCACTCTTGCTAATTCAGATCAGGAGCATCTGTTTAGGTTAATTTTTCTAGATACACAATTGGTTCAATGAAAAAATTGCCAGTGTTTTTTGTCATAGGCAAAACGTTTTTAAATGGAAGGCACTGTGGCTAGATGTTAGGCTGAAAAGAAATTAGCATTTTGTATATTTTAGCATAAAAAATAAAGTTCAGTTTAGTAAAAATAATTCAAATGAAAGACTGCAATACGTACACAAAGAAGAATCTCGTACACACATGATCAGTGTTGGGAACTACCCATATCTCCCCATGTTTGTGCAGATCTGGTGAAGTTATCACTAAAAGAAAGAGATTTGAGGAATGGTTAATATTTGATGATCTGATGCCCTCAAAATAAAATATATTTTAAATTCTAATAAATGGGCTGATTATCAGAATCTGACATTCATTGACTTTATTAATTGCAGCCAAGACTCTTATGGGTGAATGTCAACTTTGTAAACATCAACATTAAAGGCCAATGTAATTTGTCACTAGCTTAATTACATCATGTAAAAAGCCTGCCTTGTGTAATGGTTAAGGCACCAGACTGAAAACTAAAACACAATAAGTTCTAAGCCCATTTGAGGAACAAAGCTAGCTGGGTCACCTTGTCAAACTTAGGAATAAGGCTATGACAAACCACTTCTGAAATCTTGCCAAAATCTTGCAGGATATTGTCCAGGCAGTTGCAAGGACTCTACAGCAATAATAATAATAGCAACAATGTACACCATATGGCAACATCTAGTGGACCTGAATTAATCTCAAAAAAATCTAAACAGGATCAGAATTGGTTATTGATAGGTTAAGAAACCACTAGGAAATGCTACAGCAAAAGGCTAGGCTTGGAAGTTGAAAAAAGAAGGGAGTGATAAACCACTATTGATTAAAAAGAACTATAAAGAAATATTTAGATAATCCATAGGAATTGATATGAGGAAGTTGTTATTGTTATTCTTAATGCTATGTATCAGAATGAAAATATTCAGATGACAAAAAGGACCTAGTTCTAAATGGCTGCTATTTTTATTGTCTCAGAATATCAGTGGGCCTACATAGGTTCAAAAAAAATCATTTGAATTAAAAACTGGAAAGATATTTTGCAGGATGCCAGCCATCCAGTTATTATTTTCAATTAAATATACTGCAACAAATGAGGACAGGCAGATGGCATGGAAAAAAAATCAAGGATTAATGTTTCCATTAATGTTCAGATGTACCATGCTAGAGACCTCAAAACTAACAACTAGATAGGTTACTGAACACAGTACTTCCTGTGAAATAATAAAATCTTTAATCTAAGTCTTAGCTAATGATTTAAATAGCACAAAGAAAGTCATTAAAATCAATCTGCTACAAAATCATAGATCTGGAAGGATCGACTGCAGATCAGAGTGCTGCAAGGGCCACAGGTGAATCCAATCATTAGCTCAGTGCAAGAATTGAAATCAAAGCGTCCCAGAATTCTGCTTGAACAAATTGAATTAAGACTCTGGGGAATAGATTCCACAACTTGCTGCTATGAAGTTTTTTTTTTTTTTTAAAGATTTTCAATTAGCATCTGCTTTCTTGTATTTAAATTCTTTATTCCATGTCCTGCATTCTGGAATGGAATGCCTTCTGGAATGAGTTTGGTGTTTTGTGTGACATCGAGTTTTGACAAAATGAAATTCAATGGTCAAAATAGTAAGGTTCTACATTTAGGCAAGAAAATCCAAATGCACAGATACAGTATAGGTGGTACCTTACTCAATAGTAGTAACTGTGAGAGGGATCTTGGGAGTCCTACTGGACAATCACTTAAATATGAGGCAGCAGTCAGATGTTTAATGATTGCAACAACCTGTTTAATGACTGCAACAACCAATGACTATGATTCTGGGCTCAATTGCAGTTGTAACATGAGAATTATCTGCATTATCAATTTCTATGAATCCTTAAAAGTGTGATGCTCAGAACTGGACAGAATATTGAAGCACTGTATTAAAAGAAAGGAACAACTTGTTAAAAGTACATTAATAATGTGCTTAGGAACACCTCTTTGTTATGGTCCTGGTTAGATCAAACATTGCTGTAAACATTTCCCTGATTCCACCTCTACTTTCTGTCCTGTATTTTCCCTTCTTCTTTTCATGGTATGTAGGATGTAGCAGATATACAGAAATACAAAAATAAATGAAAGATTTGTAAACCTAGAATAGTTACACATAAAAACACAGTAAATAAAATAATAAAAAAATTCTGTGTTTTAAAACAAGTCAGTTTAAATCAGCAAAACCAACAGATTACTTTTTATGTAACACAAGATAACTGCAAGGACATCAAATAGAATTCAGCTATTTATTATTAGATATTTTAGAAGTGCTTACCTTCACATAAGGCTATGCATTTTAAGTTTCGGCTTTGCAAAAATTGAGACTGCTGCCCCTTTTTTTGTAACTGTTAAAGAAAATAAATATTGGAAGTATTATATCAAATATTTTTAAAATGCTTTGATTCATGAATTATTCTTGCTGGTATTACTGATATAATCTCTGTGGTCAAAACCACAATCATTTTTTATATTAGTCATAACTGTCCATTCAAGACCTTGCTCCAATAATACAGATAATTTCTGCAGACATTATGAAGTCTGAATATTTTCCTTTAAAGAATGTTTTTTTTTTTCATTTTATGGGCCAGTGAAAGCTTCTGAAATGAGATTGTATCTGTTAGGAGCATTTATAAATATGTAAATAAAATTTCCTTCTCCTGTCCTCTACCAGAGGCCTGGGAATTTGGGGGTTCTGCATGGTATCTTAGCTCTTTCTAGTGCTGCATTTGTCTGGATGTTTTGGTGTTATTCCAGGGATCTTTTGGACCCATTTTCCCAGTTTAGGAGTCAAAGCCCGAGAATTCATACCACCACAGGGCCCATTTTGGCCTTTACTTTCTACATCCACTCCAGTTTCTCCTTTAGAACCTGGTACTTCTCTAGCTTCTCATACTCCTTCATCCTATGTTGCTGCCACTTGGCACCACTACATCTATCACCACTGTTGTCTTTTGGTCCTTTTGTCTACTACCACAATGTCTGGGTGACTGGTCAATACCTGTCTGTCTGAATCTATTATGCTCTGTGACTTTCTGGACTTAAGAGGATCTAGCCCCATTGTGGCGAACCTATGACATGCGCATGTAGAGCTCTCTCTGTGTGGGCATGCACACTATCACCCTAGTGCTAGGTCTTCAGCTGGGTTTTAGGCCTCCGCCACCGGGTTCAATCAATCAACCAGTTTCAACTTCTCGCAGGGAAAAAAAAAGATCTTGCAAAGTTGGAATTGATTGATTGAACTTTTTAGTCCCACCCAGTCTGCCGTTACCACCGCAGTCACGCCCACCCAGTGGGCCACGCCCACCCAGAACCCGACAATACCTAAATGGGTTTTGGGTTGTAGTTTGGGCACTCGGTCTCAAAAGTTTCACCATCACTGATTTAGCCCGTATACTGTTCATATGTTCCTATACACAATTTATTTATTTATGAGACTTATATACCGCTTTAAGTGCAAGCACTCTCTAAGAGGTGTACACCAGTAAGCAATGTATATATATATTTACATTGCCCCCAACAATCTGGGTCCTCATTTTATCTACCCCGAAAGGATGGAAGGCTGAGTCAACCTTGAGCCGGTGAGATTTGAACCGCTGACCTGCTGAACAGTCAGCTAAAGTGGCCTGCAGTACTGCACTCTAACTGCTGTGTCACCTTGGCTCATACAATGTCAGTTGCTTGGTTGTGCTGTTTAGTGCTTTTATGTTACACCCTGCCCCAATGTCTCTAGGGCCTCCCTGCAGCTTAGTCCTGCCTAAGCACCAAATCCACAGAAAATCCCTGTTTCTATGGATTTGGTGCTTAGTGCCTGTTCTTGTGCTGCTACAATCAGAGCCTCAGTGTTCCTTTTAGCCTTTTCAGTCCTTTTTGACCAGCCCTTTCCAGCCACTGATTAGATTCCCCAATGTCTGCCTCCTTAGCTACCTATTGATGGTTCATTCCACAAAAGATCTTGTCTTGCCATTGTATTTCTTTTGCCTGATCTTCGTCCCCTGTCTGCTGCTACCTCAGGGATTTTCTCATCTTTGGGTGCTGTCTCACTGAGTGATGCTCTGGGTTTTCTCCAGGATGCTGGTTTTGATACTTACCAGACTGCACCAGTTATCCTCTTTGGGTATTGGACTTGGAGTGGGAACCTATGTGTGTTGCAATACAGCTTCCATGTCTTCCTTTGGCCATCTCTTACTATAGCAACAGGAAATCTGATGATTGGGAGGGCGTATATTTGATGGTATGGATTCTGTTCTTCCCATTGAGCTAGTTCTTCAAGATCTATTCTCTCTCTCTCTTCTTCCCTCTCTCCCTTGTCCACATATATAAGTGAGCTCTAATTATCTATGGAATTGTATGAATGGATGTGTCAGCTGCATCACTAGCTTCCAAATGTCTTTCTAAATCAAAATATATTAACAGGCAGAATAAGAATAGCACACACACAAAAATTATGGTATGTCCTTGTCAAATATTAATGCATTGGCTTTCTGGATCTGTCCTTCCCTGTATGAGTCACCCTATGTGAACAAGGAAGCTCTGGGGGTAGATTACCACTGCATCTGGCACCTGCCTTGAGCAAGGAGAATCATAAAAAAAGAAAGTGCTTTTTTGAAGTGTTTCATATATTTCTTTACCTGTAATACACTGCTGCTTTTACTGCTTGAAGCAGGCTCATCCTTAGCTGATACCTTCTGCTGTTTCTTGTTCATCCCTAAAGACATTGGATTTACATCAGACATAGTGGTGCATAAAATACTGTATGTTCCACTTCATATAGAGACTGCAGACAAGTATTAATGCCATTGCTGATTTTCATTTCCAGCAGCCTATAGTTTAGTAGTTAAGTATATTTTTGCAGGCAACAATGATGACCCAATCACATAGCATTCTAAAACCCACTTCTGTTTCTCATAAATAATGGGAAGTTGCATGCTAAGCTCAGGTTAAAAAACAGTCAAAACTGGGTTTCACATCAGCTGAGTCAATCTTAAGTTTATGTATAAACTGCAGAATACCATACAATGTTAGCCTAGCTAATATTTTTTGTTGGAACCTGGATGAAATTTACTACCTAGGCCTTAAAGGTCAAATACTATTACTGCCCACTGCATCAGAAAGCCCAGCACCTCTCCCCCCAGATTTGGCACCTGGCTGGATCTTCTGTTGGAGCTAAATATATAATTTTTAGAGAGGAGGGTATTTCTGTATCTTGTCTTTTGTAGCAGATGTGTCAGGATTCTCAGGAACTACAGTTGAGAACTACAGTTTCTAGCTAAAATGATCAATAATGAGGGATGCTGGGAATTGTAGTCCAGCAAACATTTGGAATGTCAAAAATACTTCATTTCTATTAATATTCTTGGGAGAGTAGAAAGCAATTTGATATTTCTTAGTTACATATGGAAGGTTAAATGTAATTAGTAAGGAAGTAAAACTTGTATGAGCAGACCCCTTGAGGAATCTTGATATTAATTTATCCAAGTAGCTCATGGGGATATAGAGGGCAAGCAGAATAACAAAAGAATAATATTGGTGCAAGTAGATAAATGACATGGTTCATGAAAACTGAGAGTTTAGCTACTGCCTTTTGTTAGCTTCAGACTCCTGTTAGATTAACAAAGAACAGCCTTATATCAGTTTATATTTTACCTAGTGTATTTATTTCAGTTCAAGGTACCTCCTACTCAACAAAAAGCAGTTTCTGTATTCCACTTTGGAATTCAGCTACTTTAGTGTTTCTCAATCTCAGCAACTTTAAGACGAGTAGACATCGACTTCCAGAATTCTCCAGCCAGCAATATGCTAAATTCTGGGAATTGAAGTACACACATTTAAAGTTGCTGAAGCTGAGAGACACTGAGCTACTTGACCATCTTTCTTCTTCCCTACAGATGTTTTTCTTCTAAACTCTATCATGTTGCATATGTAGAATAAAACTGGCCTTATTCAACAGATAAAATTTAGAACTGTGGACACTTTTTAAATTTATTTTTATTTACTAAATTTATATGCCTCCCATCTTTCCTAGGGGTGACTATTATTTATTTTTCCACTCTCTTTGGTATCCCTCCACATGGACAAAGGGATTAATATACATCACCTGAGTAACCAAAAGATATGCTTGACAATGGACTAAGGTAAATACCACTTCCAAACATTGCACCATGGAGCTGAAAGTTGAAATAAACAAAAAGCTAGTAAATTCTTCAGTTGTGGCATTTGATCAAAGATAAACTTGGAAGGTTTTTCTTATGCTAATCTAAGCCAGTTTTGGCTAGTGGATATATCTGAATTTACAAAAGGTTTGCTGTGGTGGCTACAGCCAATCACAAAGCCTCCATTTATCAGAAAGCAAGCATGATGAAGTGCTACTCTCTCTCTCTCTCTCTCTCTCTCTCTCTCTCTCTCTCTCTCTCACACACACACACACACACACACACACACACAGACACACACACACCCATCTGACATCTGAAGATGCGCTTTATCTCCTCAACTTTTACAGCACAAGTTGCTGGAAATGATGGCTACTCTATATGTTACTTGTTGAATGTGCTTTTACTTTAGGATTATGTTGAAATGTTAAGATTTTATGTTTTAGTGATTGTGTGCTTTTATCGGATTACACTGAATTGCCTATAAATATTGAAGAAATAATAAATAAATAATAGAGGTACAGGGAGGCAATTTTTACTTCATCTTCTGTTACTTTTCCAGATGGTTCTCTAAATAGATAACAAAACTCAAGAGGGTGAAAAGAATATCATTTTGGTTCCTGGCAAGTTCTGCTCCTTGTAGTATAAGCAAATTCAGCTCCTTGTAGTATAAGCAAATTCAAGGATCCCAGGTAATAATAACAGTGATGATTATGCCAACCTGATAGTCATCTTTTCATTCTATGAAATTGTAGATTATGTAGGAGATGATCAGGCTGAGCACGAAGGAGGGATCAAATGAGTCATCAGTTATAAGTCCCGTTGGGCTCACAAGAGATCTAAGTCCAGCTCACCTTGAATTCCTTTTACTCTTATCTATACTAGTAGTTCAGATTCTTGTAGAGAGCTTAAGCATACAATAAATCTTTATGAACTTCCTGGATCTCCTGATTTTTCTGGAGCTTGACAGGTTAGGCCTCTATGGCTTTCAAAATAACATTCACATTTTGCTGCTACTTCTCACTTCTTTACCTGCAGCCTTGTATTGGAAGCAACCACTAAGCCATTCCTCAGGATCGAGTGCCAGTTTTCAATGTGCGATCCACTTAAATACAAAAGACAAGACAGGCAGAAATCAAAGTAAGGAAAGCAGTATAATCGAAAAGCACTACCAATGAAATTAGAATGGATGTGTATTCCTATCTCTGTTATTTGGTGAGACAAGGATTTAATTTATTTCTATTTTTTAATACTTACTGAAATGCAAAGGTACTTCCATAAAGAGTTTTAGCAGCTCTGAAATTGGACTCTTTGGCTGGTGGGCTGCTGAGCAGAAGAAACTGGTGTGGGGTGTGCATAAATTTCAATTGCTAAACAAGAACAAAAGCAGAAGAGGAGAACATTATATCTATAACAGTTTGACATTCTCATGACATTGTTATATATTTTTTTGTTATTTTGTGGTTCAGGATGCAGAATAATGGATTTGGATCAAAGGTAGGCAGATTGCATTTCAGTTTTTAGAAAAACTTTGACAGTGGAACCAATCACAGAGAGAGCAGTTTATAAACTCCCTTTCCCTAATCATGTTAAAAAAAGTCATCTCTCTTGAACACTTAATTTGAATCCTACACTGAGCAAGGGGGCTTTACTTAAGTAGCCCCTTCCCACTCTAATTCTATGATAGCCACAGACTTTGCCATTAGCCACAGACTTTGATATGCCAAGACCAAACTCTGTAAAAGTTGTTTTCGAAAACTACACAATCTGAAATTGATCTTGAAAAAGTAGTTAATCCTTCCCGGTCCACACATTTATCTGGACTGAACTCTTACTCTGTACAGATATTGTTTCCTCCAAAGGATCAAATCTATAGATACTATTAAAATGCATATTTTAAGTATGGGATTAAAAATGGAAATTGTTTTCAAACCAATAAGAGATGCTAATGTTTCCCAAAAAAAAGACTGCAATTAAAAATCAGAGAAAGTTTTTTCCTATATGTGATCATTCTAACTGGATTGTTCCAACAGTAGAGAATGCATGCATGCATGCATGCATGCATGAATAATGATACAGAATCTGGTGACAAAGCATCCACAAGAAAACTACAAGCTTAAAGAACAATGAATCCAACTGGTTGAGCTAAAATTTAAGGATGCTTTTGAGGAATCAACCAGAGAATAGACTTTTCTGTTTCTGTTTCCTTTTCTTTGGAATAATGTCTCTCCAGAAATAAATCAGCACTAATACTATTCCAGTTTAGATGCATATTGGGTAAAATAAATGCTTCAACACTGAGAAAAATTGATAGTTACAGTTTCATTGACAGTCAATAATTATGTTATTTTCTTTTGTTTGTGTTAGTTTACAATGTATAGTTTATACTGGTTTTATTACTTTGTACCATCTGGATATATCCTATGTTGTAAATCATATTGAAAGATTGTTGACAAATAATAAAATGATTATGGCCGATAAAGTACATAAAGAACTTCCTTGGAACTTATCAAGTATTTCATAGTTTTCTAAACTTTTCTTATTGTTTTCTAGAAATAACTTTGGATAGTTCTATTTGGCTATTAGAACTTTTCCCAGTTTTAGTACCTTTGTAAAAGTACTGTAAAAGTATTTTTCTGGAAGATCTGCAGATGTGCCATAGAAAGCTGTAATGGCAAACTCATTGGGGTTGGGATGATAAGGCATATTTTTCTAGACTTAAAGAATTTCCTATGCCAAACAGTTCATTCTTAAAATCTGATATCATCTATATCAGACATGTCAAACTCACGACGTCACGTGACATCGTGCAACGTATTGGAACTTTTTCCACATTGCCGGCAATGGGGTGGGCGTGGTTTCCTTGTGACTCATCTGGCCCGCGGGCCGACAGTTTGACACCCCTGATCTGTATATTCAGCCAATATTATTTTATATATAATTAAAGGCTGAGCCAATCATATGTTAGATAACCCAGCAGAACTGAAACACATAAAAAGTTAAGAATGTAAATCCTTATAATTGTTTGTAGGGAAATTTGTCATTATTGCACTCTGCTTCCTTTGAAAAAGCATACTATCCTAATTTTCATGATCTTTCACAGTGTGATGATCTCCATATACTCCCATTACCTCCAGCTTATGAACAGAACGACCATTGAATAGTTGCAATTTTTCCAAGGTAAAAGCACAGAAAAACAAAATTTACTGGTTGATAAACTGAAAGTCATTTTCTTCCAAAATCCAACTTGCTCTTAACCTTAAACTTACCCTGTTCACAGGTAGCTTCACAATATGTGATCTATTACTAGAAATAACCCTGAAATAGAGAATATGGGGAACAGAATAAATCACAGTTTTTCATGCTAGCCCTGAATGCCAAAAAAGTACTGTTGGGAATCTTTATTCCATTTTCCTTGCATTTATATAGAGAAGCTCAACTATTGCAAGGTATATTTTGTCTCCTATGGTAAGCCTGATTATTTATATCAATCAAGTAAAAATGGAGAGTTTACCAAAACTATAGTAAGTCACAAAATAAAATGCATCCTGTTGAATTCAAGGAATCAATCTTTGAGTTCAAAAGAAAATGTACTCTGTACTGTTGAATTCAAGGAATCTATGTCATTTTAATTATTTTTAATCAATATTTACAAAGGAAGGGCACAATCCATCTTCAATTAGCTCAGTGTAAATTTGATCCTTTTTGCCTATCCCCCTCCAAGAAATAATGTTATGAATTCTGAAGCTCTATTTTTTGTTACAATGCCTACATGACCATTTAATGCCCCAGGCCCTCATGCAGGTAAGAATGCTAAATGAGTTTTTAGAAGTTGTACATGATTTCCCTATTACACTGGATAATGTCATAATGCACTGGGCTGTTACTTACTATCTTACATAGGAAGAACAAATTTGGGTCTTCTTCATTTTAAGGAAATTGCACATCATGTTAACAAGCTATGAGATAACTAGAGACTTATCATAATATTTGAAAAATACTTTGAATTAAACAAACAGCATATAAATCTATGTAAGAGCTTTACCACTGTAGTAGAGGATGCGCAAGTGAGTCTTGTTTGTCCATCTGCTTCTTTATTTCTAAATAAGGTGCCTATGAAATAATAACAGTATAATTATCAATTAAGAGATATGCTGGAACTAGATACAAGATAGTTTTGATTCTGATAATTCTACTAATCCAAGAAACTGTGGATCAGTTTAGCAAGTCACCTAAAGAAAAAGCTATCACTTTAAGTCTCCTTTGGGTCAAGCTTAGTTTCTAGTGACCCCATGGCATATTCATGTAGTTTCTTTGATAACAAAAAAAAAATGGATTGTAACTGTTACCTTCATGGATTTCTTCTGGCTTCTTATGGATTTTCTGGTAATTTCCCACTCAAATATTAAGTAGGTCTGATTCAACTGAACTTTTTGTGATTTATAGGCTTTGAATGAACTATAGTTTAAAACTAGCAATAGTAACATGTTTTCTTATAAAACTGCATCCTATCACTAGTTTCTGGGATTCTTTCCCAATTATCTCTTAAAAGATATTTGCCACTCAGTGTAGGCAGTTCTCTGTAGGTGTTTCAAGAAATTTCCTTGAACCTGCTTATGCTAGCCTTATTTTTCAGTGCTCCCCTAAGCCAAGGGTCCCCAACTCCTGGACTGCGGTCCACTATACTTGCGTGAGCGGAAGAAACTTGCACTCATACACAAAGCTTCACTTGCATGACTGGAAGGCGCTTGAGCTCATGCATGAAGCTCTATTTACCAGAATGGAGCTTAATGTGCTGGCACCCTCCACTCGCATGAGTGGAGCTTTACGCACAAGCGTCTTCTGCTCAAGGGGCCTCCGCTCGCATGATCGCCAAGTTGATTTCTAAATCAGTATAGATTTTGTAAAAGAAATTAATCTCTAAATCTGTATGTAGTTTGCCTATGTAAGGTTTTGACATTCTATTTTATATATAGCATTCTACTTACAAAATTCTATGCAGAATTTTGGCACCCCACTAATTCCCCTGAAGTAATCCCATATTCATCTGTCTCTCTGTTTGTCCATCTGTCCATCCATCCATCCATCCATCCATCCATCCATCCATCCATCCATCCATCCATCCATCTCTACATTTCCTGTTAGGAGTGGGACAGCGCTAATACCTATCTTCACTACCTTTCGAATTAAAATTTGATCTTCTTTGTGCCTCTTATAAGTATAATTCACACTTACCCACAACAGTTAGCGAAATATTACTTCATTTTAAAAATTACATTATTGAATGTAATAATCATTAAAAACCCTCCTTGAGAAGCCCATTGTAGTGATTCATTCAGTGATACCCCAAAGGCTTCTCTTTTATCTTGTGTCAATGGAGCTGTGCGCACATGCATGCATGCCAGTCCGTCGCTCTTGCAGCCCTTTTCTCCTCTCTCTCCCAGCTGGGCCACCAAGCTGCCTGCTCCCAATGCTCTAAAAATGGAGTCGTGAGAACAGAGACTGAGTGGGATGAGTGTGCCCTGCTCAGCTTCGCTGACTCACCAAGGCTGTTTGCACAAGACACTCAATCCACTTTTGGAGCATTGGGCAGCCTTGGTGAGTCTGAAGGAACATGAAACCGCACCCCAAAGGTTTCTCTGTTTGGTGCCAAAAGCTTTTGCAAATGGACAAAAGTGATCACCCGCTGCTTCAGACCTTCTGTCTCTTTTGGGGTGGAGAAGCCTGAAGGAGTGCAAAACCGTACCCCAAAGGCTTTTCTTCTCTCTTGCATGAGTGGAGCTGCACACATGCATGTGTGCCAGCCCAACACTTGTGCAGCCTGGTTCCCCTCTTCCCCCCCAATGGGTCACCAAGCCATAAAGGTTGGGGACCACTGCCTTATAGTGTTTTCATGAACACAAAGTTGCATGTCCTCAAGTCTGTTCTTCCTCCTAGATGGCCATGAGATCAGAGCTTTTTGCTTTCTGTTTTATAGTAAAAAGACTTGTTAGATACAAACTGAGAAGAATAACTGTTTGTGTAAGCAATGGTTAATGTAGCTTGTTTGATCCTGGCTTGCTTGCAAAGTAGTTGCAAACCATTCCTCAGTTAAAATCTGACTAAATATCCTCAGATGATGAAAACCCTTGGTTAGTTTAAGATCAAAAGTTGATTATCTCTTTGTCTTATCTGTGCTGCAACTAGAAAGATTTCATGACGTTGCTCATGAACATGAACTAAAACCATGAACTAACTTAAGATAAATTGGTGCACTATGGAAACTATTCAGAACAATTTTATGTGGAATGCTTTCCAAGCATCTAATATATACTTCTGGTAATATTACAATGGCACTGAAAAAAGTGACTTATGACATTTTTCACACTTATGACCGTTGCAGCATCCTCAGAGTCATGTGATTTACATTCGGATGCTGATTCATATTTATGATGGTCACATTGTCCTAGAGTCATGTTATCCCCTTTTGCAATCTTTTGACAGCAAAGTCATTGGGAGGCCAGATTCACTTAATAACCGTGTTGCTAATTTAACAAACAACTGCAGTGATTCACTTAACAAATGTGGCAAGAAAAATCATAAAATGGGGCAAAACTCATTTAACAAATTACTCACCTCTCCTTTTATATCCTCTCCCCCTTCTTTTATCTTTCTTCTCTCTCCCCTTTATATCCTCTCTCGTCTCCCCTTTATATCCTCTCCCTCTGTTATATCCTCTCTTCTTTTCCCCCTTTCTATCCTCTTCTCTCCCTTTTTATATCTTCTCTTCTCTCCCCCTCTATATCCTCTCTTCTCTCCCCGTTTATATCCTCTCTTCTCTCCTCCCTTTCTATCCTCTTCTCTTCTTCTTTTATATCCTCTCTTCTCTTCTCCCCTTCTTTTATATCACCTCCCCCCATTTTCTCTTTGGTACTTCTCCAGCTGAGTGCTCTCCTCAAGGCTGCTCCTCTCTGTCTCTCTTTCACCACCCCCTTCTCTTTCCCCCCATTGTCTTTTTTTCTCTCCCTCTCCTGCCAAAACCTGCTCTTTTTATAGCCTTTCCTCTCTCTTCTCCCCTCCTCCTTTTCTCTTCAGGGTGCAACTGTGCGTGCTGATCCTGGGCTCTCAGCAGGACCCAGGCAATACCTCGCGCAGCTCCAGTTGCATCTGTGCCTGAAGACTGCACGAGGCTGCCTGTCACCCCCAAGGCCACTGCCAATCAGCTGGAGCTGAACGCGCCAATCCTGGGCTCTCAGCAGGACCCAGGCAACACTTCACGCAACTCCAGCTGACTTTCCCACAATCCTGTGCAGCACTGCCACTGCTTCACTTCATCCACTTTTACACTTTTTTTACAGTGCTTTTCAACCCATTGTACGCATTCCACCTGCCAGATGCCAATGTACCAACAGAGGTATGTGTACCACTGGTTGAAAACCCCTGATTTAGAGTGTCCCTGAATAGGGTAAACTGGGGAATGAGGAAACACTGAGAGAAGAGAAATTTCTATCACACTGAAAAGAAGAATTTTCTGCATAGCGTCTGTAATACCAGCACTTCTTTCTTCTTGTTCCAACTCATATATTCTGTTCAAAGAATGTGCCTCTTCCTAATTGTCAAAATATTGTCCATCTCCTTGCAGCTCCTGAGATATAAGCTACTGTATTCTGAAGGGTGCATTTTTAGGGAATTGGGGTTTACCATGGCAAGAAGGGCCAATAAATCTGCACATTCACAAATAAGTACTGTGACCCAATTTTAAACCTTGAGTGAATGTCACCACATTCTAGTACATCATTTTGACTGTCCAATCTGAAGAGACACATCAAATTTAGCTTCAGCAGAACTTTCAGCACAGTCACAATAGAACCCTCTTCCATCTCCAAATGCTCTCCTGTTTCACTTAAGCGAACAAGCTTTTACTTGCAAAACCATCAGTGTCATTGCAGCAGATTGCTACAAATCTGTATTTTTCCCTTGGCAATTTGCTTGGCTTGTTCCTAAGAATGCACATGAATAAAGAAATAAATACACAAAAATGCAGCAAGGGGCTACTGGTCAGAGCTGTATTCCCTGAACATTGAAACAATCCATTTACTCACAGGCAATCCTGCCCCTAGGACTGAATAAAAAGTTCATTGTAATGGCATATGATATCAGTGGTAATATTCAAGCTTGATCTGTCAATGTTCTGGTTCATTGATTTTATCTTGCAACTTGTTATCTACACAAAGATTATTTTGATAGGCTTTCCTTGCACGGGTCTAATAAAACAGCAATGGTACTACACAGTGCTAAAACTCATAAACATATGTATCATATAATAACAATTTAGAACACAACAATTCATTTACTTATTTAATATGCCTACCTGCGTCATTTCTCTTATGGAAGTAATGCTATCCAGTGCTTTCATGACTCGGTCATAATTCTTCTTCTGTGGTGAAAGAAATGAAAGATTACTTTTCAGCAAGCATGTTTTAAAGTATATTAACTTTCAGATGTATCTCATATAATTATAGAATTGGAAAGATCCATTTAATTCCTGGATCCAAGTCTCTGCTATATGCAGGCATTCAAATAAAGAAATCCATAGCAGACGGTTATCAAAACTCCCTGCTTGAATATATCTTGTGAAAGGATTTTACTGTTATTGTAGCTATCATAACCATTTCCTATAATTTTATACAGAATGTGAAATTTATAATCCCTACATCATTACAAGCCCTAATTATATCAAAATGTTGTACACATGACATCATCATGCAAATAATGCAACTGACATACTCATGTCAACGGTTGTCATGATATCTGAAACAAGAACATCAATTGCATCACTTACACAAAGACAAATGATATATTTTCCCACCCTTGCTCTCCCTACAAACAGTAAGATACTGTTTGAAACCACATGTGGAGATACTGCTACTTTCCAATGCTTTAAAATCCATTACAGATTGTATATCAAAAATGTAGCTGAAATTGTGCCTATCAACCAATTGTTGTAGCCCAGAACATCTGGAAATTATTTTCCTCTTCCAAACAAATAATATTCAGATGTTTTGAACTGAATCTCACACTATCCCTAACAACTGGTAATGTGAACTTGGACTGATGGAAATCCTAGGGTGAAACATCTAAAACCAGACTGAAAAAAGCAGTTGAGTACTAAAACTAGTGGCAACTAATAACAAACGTTTGTTTTAGAAATAAATGAATGTGAGTATATATATAAAGTCATTTTTTTCTGTATCCATCTGTATCTTAAGGTAATTATTTCAGTAATTAATTACTGTATTTATTCAGAACTAGATTACTATAGGCATATGTTTGAAAACAACCAAATCTCAGACATAAGGCACATTTTTGCTCTGAAATTTTAGTTAGAAAGATGTTATGCTTTTGCCTGATATCTTAAAGAGTAGATATAAGAATGAACCAAGCCATAACGTGGTTTGCTTGGTTTTGGTTTACTGTATGGTATGAACCCAGTTACTGAGATCTGTAAATTATGGTTTAATACGAATCAGAAAAGATCTAGTTTAAGCAACAAACCACTTTATAGCTTTGCCACAATGTGTGAACTGAATGTTTATGTAATTTTGATTAATAAATTGATACCACTTAAATCTACTGGTTTTCATAAGGAGTTATGCTATTATAAGTAACCACATAGTACATAATTTTTATCTGAGCCTTGATCTCAATCATCTTCCAAGAATGTGGAAAAGGAAGGAAGCAGTGGTTTTTGCCCATAATGACACCCTTCCCCTCCAAATACAAATGATACATACCCTGGGATTAAAGGCTAGCATCTGAGAGTCATTAGGATCTACTACTGAAGGATATGGCTCAAAAATGACAACTTTTCTTGGGGATTCTAATGCAGAACGGCACATAGATACTAGTAAGTCTACAACCTAGAAAAAAGAAAAGGCAAAAGAAAGTTCAAAAAGAAGACTTTCCCCTCCTCCCAAATAAATTCATAAATGATTCCCAATGGATCTGGACCAGAACCTTGTTAAGATTTAACAGGATTTCAGATACAATTGTACCAATAGGACTGAGATCTGGACCAGAACCTTGTTAAGATTTAACAGGATTTCAGATACAATTGTACCAATAGGACTGAGAGAATTTATATCAGAAAGAAGCTCTGGGTCTGTTCTCCATTGTGCTGCAATGTCTCCACTTTGACTAATTTAATAGGAGTGTCAAGTGATATAAGGGGCAACAGGACAGTGTCTGATTTTGTAAAATTTTGCTTTGGCTCCTTTATTTGAGCAACTTCTTTTTTGGGAGCACCACATTTACTTCTTCAAAGACATGGTTCAGAACATTCATTCAAGGATTCAGATTATTCATTCCATAAATGTACAAGGTGTGTACTAACAGGGTTTCCTTCCTTCCATGTACACATATGACATCTTTTGGTGGAGTCCACATGTATACGGTTAAAAGTATGGGAGCCTCTGTTTATGAAATTGTGACTCAGCGAATGGCATTGGATACCAAGTCTCTGTGAATGTTGAAAGGCCACCTGATCTGAGGCAGGATTTTGATCCAATAATGGACTGACTGAGTTCACCAGAAATATTCCAGTCCAACTCAATACCCAGAACTGAAATGAGAATGAGAAAAATGTTCAGTTCTCCCATAGTCAAGCATAGGAAATATGTAGATGACTAAAATATTTTTTCTCCAATCAAAATGGAGGTAAACTTCATAAAATCCATAATGTGTGAAAAATTAATTAGGATAAAATAGGTATAAGTGAAAAGATGTGCTTTTTTATAATGCAGATTAAAAAAAAAACTTCTCATAAAGTCATTATTCCAGACCTTAACAAAAATTTCTATTTTTTTTTTATCTTAACAGATGCTAATACATTTGCAATCTCGACCACATGAGGTTGCCTTTGAAGATTATCTGCAAATTTCAGCTGGTCTGGAATGAAATGCATGTGTGCTCAAAGGTCAGTTACAGTACTACTAGGTTAAACCTCTGCTGCATGAACTGCACAGTTTAGCAGTAAATTTCCAAGTGCAATTCAAGATGCTACTTGCTACTTACTAAATCCCCTGTGGCTGGAGCCCTGAAATCTTGGGGGCCACCTTTCCCAATGTATTTTGCCCATCCTATTCAGATAACCAGGGAGCACTTGCTTAGCATTCTCTCATACAAGGAGGTATGATAGGAGAGGGGCTAATATTGGATGTTTTCTATAGCAGTTCCCGTCTACTACAGTAGTCACATGTGTGAAAAAATAATTGCATTTTTTAAATATGAGTTATTTGTATTTGGAATCAATGAAGGATTAATATGCCAAATCAATACAGCTTATACCAGTTTTTTTTCTGATTGTAATATCACTGTGAATTTGGTATTTATTTTCCAATGGTATTCCCACTGTTGCATATCAATTGACCTGTTTACATTCTACATCAATTTAATCATACAGTCTTTGATTTGATCAGTTTCTGAATCTTATTTCAAAACAACTTAAAATAAATCACAGCAGATGCTTGGAATTTTGTGTTATATTTTTTCAAATTTAGTCAAATTCCTGAGCATTCCACCTTGTTTCTGTGATTTTTTTTAAAAAACTACACTATTTATTTGAAGACACTGAAACCAATGAGTCATTTCTGAATGTCCTACAGAAACTGTCTGTAAATATTTCACCTTAGTTTCAATCTTGCTCTCTATACAAATTATTATCACTTCACTGATGAAATTCTGTAGCATTTAAGCAAGGGGCCATAAATTGGATTTATAATCTTTTACTTTTATCACATACTTTTGGTGTATTGTTTATGATGAAGTCATCTCTTATATATTAAACACTTTTGTTTATATCCCACCAAAATTATTTTGCGTCCTGCAAGTCCTGCTCCTTCAACAATGGTAAACTAGCACTTTAGCAATCCAATCCAATCCAATATGTATTCCAAATTAAACTGGCTTAATAATATAATTTGAAATGTGTGATACAGCTACCGTAGTTCACCTTGTATTTTCACAAAACCTTGCAAAACCTTAAATTTAATCCTTAGTCTTCAGTTTCATCAAATAAAGTTAGTTGTCCTTGCCATTCATTTAACATCTTTTTTTCAATTTTTACTGAAATCATCTGGAACTTGATCTCTGAAAAAATATTTATTTTTACTGATTATATTCTTTCTAGTTTTAACTTCTATCTTAAAATATCTGCCATTATATTTTTCCAAGTCTGTTAATAATTTTTCTTGAATTTGTTGTCATTATATTTTGTTAAATAATTTCCCAGGTATTAAATTGTTAAACAAAGATAGTGAATCTTGTTATTCTCATCTTTTTTTGTGTAATATTTCTAAAGCCAACAAAAATAAAGGAGAGAGAAGATAAATCTGTCTTGTCCCTTTCATTATAATACATGTTGCTGTACATATTAATGGAATTTATTTAGTGGATAAACTACAGCCATAAGAAATTAATTTGCTATACCATGTCAGCTGCCAATGCATCTTGCAAAATCCCATAATACAATTGTTCATGATAAGAGACTGAGCAATGAGATGACACAAATGACCGAATGATCCATCTCTTCCCTCTTACTCAGATGTCATCATTCCTTACCCAGGCCATTCTGACTGGGCTGATAAATAATAATACTGATTGGAGACAAGGCCTGGCCATCACTGAACGAACTATCTATCCTTACAACCTGGTATTTTATGTAAAGACTGTTTTAATTTTCTCTCTGGCTGCTGTGCTTTCAGAGAAACAGATAAGCCCTTCAGCTTTGTACAGGCTAAGAGAAGAAAAGCTCACATCATCATGTAGGTTTAGATTTTATCTGATATGCACCATTATACATTCAACAAATATTTTCATGTGAAAATGGTAGAGGATACTGGCCTTCCCAGATGCATGCTTATTGATAGAATGATTCCCAGAAAGCAGTGATGCTAGCTGTTTCTATGATCCAGGTACTAACAAAATTAACTAACAATCATCTTCAGTTGGGTGGTTTCCAGAAAGCCTGGACAAGAATGGATAATCTGTGACCCATGATCTTTATCTTCTCCCCTGCTTTCTACATGTGTCCCCCAAAGTGTTTTAAACAAGTGATTTTCTGCCTTTTGTTCTTAGCAGGATTTGGTGGGGAAGAGTGTTAAAGGGTAAAATGGGGTTTTTAGTCCCACAGAAACACAGAAAACTCTAAAATAAATCAGGCAATTTCAACCTTTAGGTTTTAGAGATAAAAAGAATGCAATTTTCCTAATATTATTTTCTTTTGACTTTGCTTTTTGTTACATATTGCTTAGTGAGGATATCTGAAGCTCATAAAAATATGCATATATCTGTAATCTTGAGAGGGTGTAATAATAGTTTTGGTCCACAGTTAATTTTGCAATATGCTTTTTTGTTTATTTGTTTGTTTATCAAATTTATTTGCTACCCATCTTGCAGTTAAGGTGACTTTACTTTTTCCTACATAACAATGTGTGCATCATAAAATGTAATAAGTGATTCTTCTCCCCCCAAGATCACAGTAAAATTTCCTGCATGAGAAGCTGGAAAGAGTTAAAACACTTAAAGTATTGTTTCTTAGCATTCCCAAAAAATGTTTTGATTTCAACTCCCAGAACTTCCAGCAATGAACACGTAGATTAGAGAATAATAGGAGCTGAAGGCCCTATAGCTGAAAGGTGCCCTGTTGGAAAAGGCAAATATAAAAAATATCAAAAAAGCAATCTTCAATGGATAATTATGAGAACTTATATGTACTAATGTCATCTTTTCATCAGGAATGACCTATGTCAAAGCCTTCCCTTATAAAAAATGTCAAAAAAGCAATCTTCAGTGGATAACTATGAGAACTTATACGTACTAAATGTCATCTTTTCATCAGGAAAGACATAGGTCTTTTGTGATGAAAAGATGACATTAGTACATATAGGTTTTCATAGTTATCCACTGAAGATTGCTTTTTTGATATTTTTTATAAGGGGAGGCTTTGATATTTTTATAAGGGCAGGCTTGTTCTGATGCCTTCCCTTTTCATCAAAAATGATACTACTAATTAAGATTTGAGAGCTACATAGAGTTTATAATAAGTTATGACTTTTCTCCCAAGCATTCAGGTGGATTTTCAAAAGACAATGGCAAACCATTGCTGGATCACCAATGGATGAAGAGAATGAAACCACATTGCCTGGGATGTGGAGAAAAGCTCTAAGTAAGGTTGCAGTGTTAGTCTTTACTTGAGAACTTCAACTCCAGTGTTGAAGCAACAAACCACATGCCCGATATTGTGATACAACACTTTTCCTATAGAGTAGGTGAACTGGATTGGGGGCTTAGGAATTGGTTTGAGCTTTTCTAATTTCTTTTAGTGCAAGTTAACTGAGCAGTTCTAAATATATTGTGTCTTCAAAATGGGGGCCAGAATGTAACAAGGATACTAATCATTTCTAGTTTTGAACAAACCACTTCTAGAAAAAGAACACATGGGTTTTCCCCATGATGATTGGACATAAGGAGCCTGACAGAACTGGATTAGTCCTATGAAGAATAATGTGGTGGAAATCCATGTCTTTGTTTCTGTTCTCCAAACTCCTGATCTTCAACAGTATTAGCTGCTCTCCTGGTTTCTAATCCTTTATTAGTAGCCTGCCTTTGTTTTGCCTGATTGACAATTTTATGGTGTTTTGTTATTCGTTTGATTTGATTTTATGAAACAAACTAGTGCCTGACCTTCAGCTTCACAGTCTGTCAACTGCCTATGAGGAGAACACCTAAATCATCATTTGATAATGGATTGGAAAAACAACAACATTCCAATGAAAAAGCATCTGATTTACTTTGCAAATGTTCAGATTATAGCCATGTTTCTGATACTCACACTGTCTTTTAAAAGAACAATGTAAAAATATTCCCATTAATATTATTAATAATCCCTCTTGTTGGAGTCTATGATAAAATGCTGAACAACTCTGAATATTTCAGAGTGCAACTGAAAGTTATTTATTTCTGAAATAATTAAGAAAACCAGCAACAATCTACGAACAAAGATTATATTTAAAAATTATTTGACTTCATCATGATATTTACTGTAGCACAGAAATACTTAAAAGGACCATTCAACAACTATTCAAACACTTGAAGGAGTAAACATATTCTTACTTAATGGAGTGCTATGAAATGAATTATTTAGTCCACAGCCCTTCCATCTTTCCGATCTTTATTTGATTTAAAATGATTCATTCAGGGAGAATATTAAAAAAAGGGATTTGATTAATGCAACCCTCTGATTCCTCCTACAGCCCCAGATGGGCTCTGACTCATACCAAGGTTAGTTCTGAAATCTTTATATTCAGTCCTCTGGAGGGAAATAAAAAAGAGGATTCTTTCAAAAAGTGCAGTGAGAAAGAAACATCAGAGAGCAAAATATATTTAGGCTGTCTTCCCTTCTCTCCTTTTCTCACACTTGGCATGAATGGCCAAATGCCAGTGAACAAGTGTGGTTCAGCAGAGTTGAATATTGCATCAATTGCTCCTCCTACCCACAAGATAAGGATACACAAGTATCGGCCTAGCCATAATATCAATGCTAAAAGGTAGCGGAGTGGAACTGCAGCCCTTGCCAGGGTCTAATTTCCATTGGTGGGAATTATGGTAAAGCAGCCCCAGAAAGAAACTGACTGCTCATTCCTGCTATCAGCATAGGTTAAGGTTGTCATAAAGTTTACTTATCTGAAGGCTACCTATCTACGTACTTTGGATTCCTTAACACAATTGATTTTGGAGAATAAAGATATGGCAAAACTAGCACAGGGAGGAATGAAGAAGTTTCTGTGTGGTGTTGTAAAGGGAAGCTTGGATGGAATAGTTTTGGAATATAGTTCTGACATACTAAAAGTGTGCAGTACTTTGATCTCCAGAAAATGCTTTGCCGAGCAGCAGGAATATGAATGGAAAGCCTGGTTGCAACACCTGGGTCATTTCCCAGGATCATTCAGCAGTTCAGGAAAAGCACAGCTACTTTAAGGCAGTGTAGGTAAGTGTTATGTTCATTACTATATGCCCTTTGAAGCATCTTTTGGAGACTGAATTGCTGCACAGTCCTAATGTATTTGTATGTTGGATGTTGTATTACAACCAGTCAAAGTTATACCAGACAAAGGCCCCTGCAAAAGGTACCTACAACCCAGTCCCAAAGTCCTGATAGCCAGGCCCTCCCCATAATGCACTCAACAACTGCTCCACATTTACAGCCATTGGCAGCATCACATGACCCTGATTTATGCTATTTTTGCAGAAAACTGGCATTTACTTCTATTTTTCAGCAAAATGCTCCATTGTAGACAATGGGTTCGCTTAACAACTATGGTGATTGTTCAACAACTTTCACAAAATAGGATTGTAAAATAGGGTACAGTTATTTGATGACCTGCTTTATGACCATCACAACTTACAACCTGTAATCATGAATTTAATACGGATTATCTAATATTGACAAAATACAGTTCCATAATAAAAACATGAAAAGTTGCTTTTCTCTAATTTTCATCCGCTATATCATAAAAACCACTATCTTATAAAACCAAAGTACAATGAATATTTTGTACTAATCAAGAGACAATAAAATGAAGCAAAATGATATACAAAAATAAATGTTAACTGAATTTGCTACATAAAAGCAATTCATTCTTCTACAAATAAATTATCTGAATTTTACCTGAGCCCCTGTTGCAATTTCATCTGCGGCTTCATTCATCACGCCTAGAGTTTGGAAAGCAAATACACACAGTTCCCGTTCACAGACTGTTGGCTAAAAGCAAAGGGAAGAAAATGGTTATTCTTACATTTAACAATTTTCATCAACCTAACATTCTACACATGCTGAGAGTACAGTTCCTAGAACATCTACTGTATGTGTTTTGTCCAAAGTCTAGTTGGGACTCTGGGAGATATAATTCCACCCAAGGGACTGATATCTTGTACATGTGTAGAACTGCCATGTGTGTGTGTGTGTGTGTGTGTGTGTGTGTGTGTGTGTGTGTGTGTGTACTAATTTCATGTGAAAAAAGTATTCAGGGTTTTGTTTTGTTTTTTTGCCTATGAATTCTCGTTCAGTTTCATTGAAGAAAATTAGCTTTCATCATATATTTCAAAGGGGAATAAAAGTTTGGTGTTATTCTTGTATTTTTCCATTTATTTGCAGATTAGATAGCTAAGAGCTGTTTCTGAATGTCCCATCTCTTATTGGATAATCATCTTTGCAGTGGTCTGCAAGTTCCCTGGTTTTCTCTATTTCAAGAGGAGAAATCATGAGGGGATTCTCCCAATGAGGCTTTTGGAAATGGGAAATATGGACAGTCAAGGCAGCCCCAAAATGTTGGGAAAATGTGTAATTCTTCTCCCTGCAACTACTAGGAATACTATCCCTACCCCTACATCAGCAACAAGGTAAACTCAAAAACACTTTCAAGAAATTTTTGAGAATAAGATATAAAAAATTCAAAGCCTATTTTGCATATAGGCTTGCAAAAATGTAAGTCAGATCTCAGCAGAGTATTAATAAACTAAATCTCTGTCTCTCTTTGTGCTTCTCCCTCTTTATTTCATTCATGTGAATAAGGGATAAAGGCTTGCATCAGATGGCCTTACCCATACCTTGCTTTCTTGGCCTCTCATTGATGTTTTCTAAAACTTAGAGGATGGAAGTCTGAGTAAGCAGTTTATTATTTCAGTTGGTGCTTCTAGTAATATTTAAATTAATGTCTAGGAACCCTAAATGTATAGTGCAGGCTCTCTATTTTAGATATTTGCCATCCTAACCACTGGGTCAAGGTTGTAGGAGTAAAGTTAGAGAATACAGTTTCCTTCTCCCCATAATTATGGGAAAGATTAAACACACAATTCTATCTTCTCTGACCCATTAGTAAAGACTAATGACAAAAGAAATGGAAGTGTAATCTTATAAATAAATGAAGTTGCTGCTTCTCAGATTATTTGCTCCCAAGCTCATGCTGAAGTGAAGATCACTGGGAATATTATAAGACTCCAACAGGCACAAATACCTTTTTGAGCAATATATTCTTGGCATCATGAACATTGGGAAATGCAGAACCTGGTCAGGGTTCTTATTGTCAGTAAAGAACACCTCCAGCTGAAGTTTAGAATAAATGTAGACTACATCTACAACTTTCATTGTTGTTGCTGCATAAAACTAGTCAAAATGACATGATCACAGCAAGAAAGACTGCTAGTATCCAATAAAATAAAGTCTAAGCAGGAGACAATTCTACAGTTTGCATATGAAAATACTGTCAGTAACAGACAGTCCTCTCATTTTGAGTTGGAAGATGTTTTTTATGATACTGGAAGAGCATTGCCCATCATCTCTACCAATATTTTTCAAATCAAAATGAATTTCAGGTAAGCTTGTGTGATTTTCAAAAAGATACCATTTTAAGAATCTTATACACACAGAGAGATCAGTATTTCGTTTTTGCACTTTGCTTTATCTGCAAAGTAAAACAGGGATATAGATAATCCTGCTGAGCTCACGATGGGTTACTGCTACTGATCTCATTTTTCTGCCATTTTTTTAAAAAAGGACAATATTATATCTTACAAGGAACTACTGAATAGTCTATCATCACGATGTTTTCTGTTTTTCATGTTACAAAGATAACCAGTGAAATTAATCTTACTTTGCTCTTTGAGTCATTTTTTTAAAAGAAATGAAGCTAAACAATAAATTGTGTTTAGCACCATCGGAAATACAAAAAATACAAAATGAATTTGCATTTTTTCTTTACAAAAAATGCTTCACTGGGCATGTACTTGCATCAATAACTTTTTCATCAATTTTGTTTAAAATATTATCCTTCTCCTCTTCCTCTACTTGCAGTCCCAGTGATTATATGAAGTCTTGAAATATTTTTGCAGTGATGGTTTTAGAAGATCCATTATCTTTCAAGTCCAATACAGCATTGCTCATTTGATATATCTCATCTGCTATGTTACATTGAATTAGGCAGCAGATGAAGCTTAACACTATCTAATTCACTGTACCATGGCGCTCTAGACCAAATGAAATAATCTATATTAACCTCACTGGTTCTCTTTTGGGCACATTTTAGGAAAGTTTGACTGATGCACTTCAGTGGCTTAGTCTTTTTTTATCTCATAACTTTTATTGTTTTATCAATGTATAAAATCAAAAAACTAAAATAAAAACAGGAAATTAAGAGAAGGAAAAAGACAGGGGGAAAGAACTATGAGGTGTAAGGGAAGAAAGAAAAAAGCTTTGACTCCCAACTCTTTTTAGCACAGTACAAAATAACAAGATTACAGCCTCATTTTTTTACTTTTACACATTAGTACAGGGATCCCCAACCTGTGGGCCATAAGAGGTTTGCAACTGGGCTGTGGAAATGGAGTTGCATGTGCTTGCCGGCCACTTTTGTGAACCATCCCCCTCTCCCCCGCTAATCCGCAAAGCTGGAAATGTTGGGGAACTCTGCATTATAACTAGCTATTTCTATAACAACAAATCTATCTAATCAGCAAAATCAGAGTAAAAGTTTCATTTTATTTGTCACAAACACAAAATCCAGAAATGATATCTAAATAAAAAACATAATTAAATATATTCTCTTCTTTGAATAAAACAATCTATTTAATCATTTCTGCTTTACCTTCCATGGTGTGGAAATAATATGTATTTCTATTTGTATTTAATAATCTTTATAAACTATCACCATTTATATTTATATTAAGGTTATATTCTTTAACCTTAAAGAGAAAAATACTTTTTTCCCATCTATTATAAAACACTAACTTTTTTTTAAAAAAATTAACATAAAACATTCTAATACATCTTTTTTTAACTTCTTAATATACTTTAAAGTTCACTTTCAGACCCATAAAATTCCAGCTCCAATTAACTCATTGAATTTAGAACACTCGCTCCAAGTTACCCTCATAGAATAACTTTTTTCTTCTTGTATATATCCTTTTTAAAACTCTAAACTTTTCTTTAAGCTAATACATGTTTTTCTTTAACTTTCTCTTAACATACATACTTTCAAATACACTTTCGATAATCTTTTACAAACTTTAGGAATTACTTAAGCATTATATATAAAAGAAACAATACATTTTTAAACTTAAATTAAGACGTTCAATTACAAATCCAGACCAATAAAAATCTATCCTAATTCCAACTGACTCATTAAGTTTAAGCCACTCCTTTCAGCTTGTCTTCTGTCTTCTTCTTTTATCTTTTTCTTCTCTGGAATGTTTGTCAAGTAGTTATAAGCTTCTTTTTTTCTCAAGGATTTCTCAACCTTGTTAATGTCCATGAGGAAAAAAATCCTAAACTTGTCCTTTTAAAAGTTGCAGATTTGCTTGGAGCTTTTCTTTCACTTGTTTTGGGAGGTTTATATTTAAACCATCATAATAACAATTGGTGTCAGGTTTATATTCCAAAATTGCAATGGACTCCTCTGCAATGTCAGCAACTTGAGAAATTGCCTTGGTGGTTTGGTAACTTTCTACACATATTTGCATCTCTGAAGCAGTTTGAGTAGTTTGTTTTAACATCCTTAGAGCATACCTGATCTATGAACTGATGGATTTTATTTAAAGATTTTTCAAATACATCTCTAATAATTTGCTCCTCCATCTTCTTGAATTCCTTCTTTAGTCAAAGAATAGCTTTTTTGTAAGTCACTTAAGAATTGCTGGCCAATCAGGAATCATAAAAATCGGAAAGTTTTAGCCACCCGCAGCAAAGCAAACCAAGCTACAAATTACTAAAAATAATAAACTAGAATTACAACTGTCTGCCCATATATTTTTCCATCGTTTTTTTTTTAAAAGATACTCCAGATTTTCTTATTTTAGCTTGCATTCATCTGCCTTCTTCCTTATTGTTTAACAATGAAGAAATCCCTCAAATGGTGCAGATCTTCAAAAAGGAATATCAGGCTGTGACTAAAGAGAGCTTCTTTTAGTTTAATAAAGACTAATAATCCTTAAAAATGATTAAGAAATGAAAGGCACAATTTATTGTCCATTTGAAAAATAAACTCCAAAATGGCTGATTCTTCAACAACGAACTGATTGCATCCCCACCCCGCCAGCTTTCAGCATATAGTCTGCTTCAAAGCACAGCTCCTGAAGCTACTTGCAGACCTTTGCTATATCGGAAGATCTTGTGGGATCATGCTAGGACTCTTTCTAATCCAAGAGACTCATATAAACTAAAAGAATGCTGGTTCCTTCTGTTGGTTGAAAGAGCTACAGTCCAAGGAAAAACCCTTCAGATATCCTTCCCTCTGCTTGTCATCAATTGGCCATCTTTTCACCTTCAGTAGCTCAGTCTTGGAGTTGTCATCTAGAGAACTGTCTGCTTAATAGGGAAATGAATCCAGTATGTTTTACAAGCATGAAAGACAAAACAGGCACTGAGATTCACAACAGTTTAGGGAAAGGTTACAATGAGATGTAGAACATATTATTTGCAAACTGAAGGATCCTGTTCCCAATTCTAGGATCAACTTTGCACAACATACTAAAGAAGATGTATCTAGTATCTAGAACATACTAGATAGCTGCCTTGCTAGATAGGCAGAACTGGTTCTCATAGGACATTATACCACCGGCAATTAGTCTGCAGCCTGTGGGACATACTTAACCTATGGAGACTTTCCTTTAAGATACTGTGTGCACACAAGCCACTATTCCAAATTATTTATTTCCAATAACCAAATTCTTATGCTCCTATATGGACTACCACATAGTTGGACAAATTAA